TTTCCTGGTTTGCATACATGTCCCTACAAATCATGCACTTCATTAATGTCGTTCACTTTCTCACACAATTCGCATAGTGTCACAGTTTCTTTCCTTCCCTCTATAAACCCGCTGACATGGCTTCATCTACATACAGTAATGTCCCGATTTCTAAAAGAATTTCCCGTTTGGTGCAGCAGTCAGGCCAATGATAATCTAAGACCTGCCTCCTAACATTTATTTAATGCAAACTGGGATTTCGTCTGTTCTTCAAGGGTATTTACTAAAACTACACCTTGATAGTTTGAATTTTAATTTTTCAAAATGAGTATAAGCCCATTGGAGCAACCAAAAATGGGTACCAGGAAGTAGAGGCGGCTGACGTGGTGTTAAACCACATCCCCTAGCGAGTGCTGCTCGATCTTTAAAAATACGTCTCTGGCATCAAATATCTATATATATATATATATATATATATATATATATATATATATATATATATATATATATATATATATATAGAGAGAGAGAGAGAGAGAGAGAGAGAGAGCGACCATATCGTTGGTACAGTATCAATAGGGTTTAGGTCGACCCAGACGGAGAGGAAAAAACCACACATTGTCCCAGTTGACATAATCGATGGGACCTCTGGGTCTGCCTTAACGGCGAAAACCTGACTTATCTTCACCCTACTTTATATCACTGGCGTAAAAAAGGGGTCCTTCATTATTTCTTTATGTGGTGTTCTCATCATTGATCTAAATAACGTAATCTCCACAGTTTCCACATGAAACATCCATCATAGGACTGTGGGCTCCACCAGGTCTGTGTGGCCAATACCGGCTCCCTCAATATAACGTACTTGGAGGTTCAACTGGGTCTATGAGCTTGCCCTGTTAATCTGCTAGGGTGTAAACCTGTTCTGGTATTTGTCCGAAAGGGATAAACGGCACACACGCTTCTGTGTCATTTTTCACTTATTTATCGACAGTCTGTGATTCACTTCAGTGCATTAAAACTGGTTCTTTCATAATGTTTTTCACCATCCCTGTCATCATCATCATCATCATCATCATCATCATCATCATCATCATCATCATCAAAATCATTATCATATACAAATTCTTATTCTTCTTCAGGATCATTGCTGCAGAAATCACCAGCCTCCACTCATCTCTCTGGTTAGCCTTCTCTTTCCACTTGGTAACACCAAGTGTTTGCAGGTCTCTCTGCACATTATCTCTCCACGGTCTTCTTGGTCTGCCTAGTGGTCTACGACCATTTATCTTCCTTGTGTATACGGTTATTACCTCTGTCATCTGACATTCTCTCAATATGCCCAAGCCATTTCAACCTATAAGCTTTCATGATGCCAATGGTCAATAGTGAATAAATTTCGTTGTTGCTTCTCACTCTCCATTCCTCGCTGTTTACATCTTTGATGGGTCCAAAGATTTACCCTATATATCAGGCATACGATGCCAGAGTCGTGTTTGTAAAGACCGATCGGCACCTCGTGGGTGATGTGATTAACACCAAACATAAATTGACCTCACATTAACTATACCTGTTATAATCGTTTGCCTTCACCAGGATGAGTCTTCTGGCCTCCACCTACAAGCAGATCTCCATTTTTGCGGCCAACCTGCCCGGGTTACCAGGCAACATCAGACGGTCAGCACGGGGCACTTTCTGGGTGGGTCTGTCCCTGGTTCGTCACAGCGGGATCCCTAACTCCATGGACATGTTCTCCAACAACCCCGCAGCCAGGAGCCGAACTGTTGCAGTAAGTGCGTTTCCTCCAGGGGGGTTTGCGAGTTTTTCCCAAAGTTGACCCCTTGTCTTAAGTACCAAGCCGTGTTAATCACCTGTGTTGTGGTAGGATGGTTGTTTAATTAACCGGTTGGTTGAGTGATTGGCTTTTTGAGTGAATGATTGGTTTGGTGTAGTGCTGGATGTGTGGTTGATTGACTTGTTGGTTGCATGATTGCTTGGTTGGATGGGCGATTGATTGACAGTGTGGTTGATTGATTGAGTTATTCACCGATTGCTAGTTGGGTATTTTCTTTAAAACGCACCTGCATGCCCAATACACTGGGAATCAGGTTGTCTAACCAGCGAGGAGTTAAAGATACAAGCGTCAGGCTGATGAAGTTCCGTCTTGTACATTTTGTTTTCAAGGCACAAGGACGGTCCCTGCAAGCGTCGACTTTTTATCCTCATGACCCTAGAGTCGTATTTCAGACGCCAAGCCAACAGCGTCGTCAATCAAACACCAAGCCAACAGAGTCGACAATCAGGCGCCAAGCCAACAGAGTCGACAATCATACGCCAAGCCAACAGAGTCATCAATCAGAAGCCAAGCCAACAGAGTCATCAATCAGGCGCCAAACCAACAGAGTAATCAATCAGGCGCCAAGCCAACAGAGTCGTCAATCAGGCGCCAAGCACACAAAGTCATTAATCAGGCGCCAAGCAAACAGAGTCATCAATCAGACGCAGCCAGCAGAGTCATCAATCAGACGCCAAGCCAACAGAGACATCAATCAGGCGCCAAGCCAAAAGAGCCGTCCATCATACGCCAAGCCAACAGAGTCATCAATCAGACGCCAAGCCAACAGAGTCATCAATCAGACGGCAAGCCAACAGAATCATCAATCATACGCCAAGCCAACAAAGTCGTCAATCATACGCCAAGCCAACAGAGTCATCAATCAGACGCCAAGCCAACAGAGTCATCAATCATACGCCAAGACAACAGAGTCATCAATCATACGTCAAGCCAACAGAGTCGTCAATCAGACGTCAAGCCTACAGAGTCATCAATCAGGCGTCAAGCCAACAGAGTCATCAATCATGCGCCAAGCTAACAGAGTCGTCAATTAGGCGCCAAGCCAACAGAGTCATCAATCAGACGCCAAGCCAACAGAGTCATCAATCAGACGCCAAGCCAACAGAGTCATCAATCAGGCGCCAAGTCAACAGAGTCATCAATCAGGCGCCAAGCTAACAGAGTTGTCAATCAGACACCAAGCCAACAGAGTCATCAATCAGACGCTAAGCCAACAGAGTCATCAATCAGACGCCAAGCCAACAGAGTCATCAGTTAGACGCCAAGCCAACAGAGTCATCAATCATACGCCAAGCCAACAGAGTCATCAGTCAGACGCCAAGCTAACAGAGTCATCAATCGGACGCCAAGCCAACAGAGTCATCAGTCAGACGCCACGCCAACAGAGTCATCAATCAGACGCCAAGCCAACAGAGTCATCAATCAGACGCCAAGCCAACAGAGTCGTCAATCAGACGCCACGCCAACAGAGTCATCAATCTGACGCCAAGCCAACAGAGTCGTCAATCTGACGCCAAGCCAACAGTCGTCAATCTGACGCCAAGCCAACAGAGTCGACAATCATACGCCAAGCCAACAGAGTCGTCAATCATACGCCAAGCCAACAGAGTCATCAATCAGACGCCAATCCAACAGAGTCGTAAATCATACGCCGAGCCAACAGAGTCGCCTAGCGTTTTTTTTTTTTTTTTAAATTATTATTGAATAGAGGTTTATTGTTTTAAATTAGTCTAGTGTCCGATCTGGTTTTAATCTCCGCCAAAAGCCTGAGACCCGTATAAATGTACTATTTGAACGGGTAGAATGTTGCAGAGTCCTAACACATCTCTCCAGTTTCAGAAATCAGCTGAATGTGCAGGGGCAGGTATTAGAACTTCCCAGCTCCAGAGGGGCATGTTTGTATACTTCTAATGGTCTCCACCTAGGTGTGTAAAAGGTCCTTTGTGTTCCAATGAGTCCAAGAGCGCAGCCAGCAAGGTCAAAGAATAAGAGATCATCTCCCCCCCCCCTTTCCCCCCCCCCCCCCCCAAAATACGAATCTGCTGCCTTGCAATAACAAGAGACAATCTCTCTTAGACTAAACAGTCGATGTTTTTCGGACATGCTGTGAGGGAGAATGGACTCGAGAATGTGGCGACAAGTGGAAAGATTGGCGGAAAGAGAGCAAAGTGAAGGCAGACAGATAAATGTCTGGATGGCTTGGCCACATGGAATGGCCAGACAAGAACACTTGCCTGAGCCGCGATTCTGGTGATCGTGTCAGATGGCGAAACATTACAGTCTACGCTTATCGGCACAGCCTATGATGATGATGATGATGATGTTGTTGCTGATGATCAAATAGTGTTTGTTTTCCAATCTTTAGACGGTCGACCAGAACACCATCAAGTCCTACTTCCCCAGGTACGGGCTGCTGGTGGAGCTGGACTTCATTGGAAGGATCATCGGCAGTCTGCACGATCCCACAGGTAAGTCTCTCTGTGGTAACAGCTACAGTATTCAGTAGTCAGGTGTTGTTGTTGCAGGTGTGTTCATAGTAGGAGCTGGGGAAATGAGAGAGAAGGGGGCAGGAGAGAGAGAGAGAGAGAGAGAGTGTGTGTGTGTGTGTGTGTGTGTGTGTGTGTGTGAAAGAAAGAGAGAAAACAGGAAGTGATAGAGAGAGAGAAAGAAAGATAAGGATGATAGTAAAGGATAAGAAAGATATAGAAAGTAAGGAAGTTAGGAAGAAAAGAGGTAAACGTGGTGGAAGAAGAAGAGACGGAAGGAGGAGAAGGAGGAGGAGGGGTAGAAGAAGAAGAAGAAGAAGAAGAAGAAGAAGAAGAAGAAGAAGAAGAAGAAGAAGAAGAAGAAGAAGAAGAAGAAGAAGAAGAAGAAGAAGAAGAAGAAGAAGAAGAAGAAGAAGAAAAAGAAGGGAAGAAGAAAAAGAAGAAGAGGAAAAGGAAGAAAAAGATTATGATGAAGAAGAAGGAGAAAAAGAAGAAGAAGAAGAAGAAGAAGAAGAAGAAGAAGAAGAAGAAGAAGAAGAAGAAGAAGAAGAAGAAGAAGAAGAAGAAGAAGAAGAAGAAGAAGAAGAAGAAGAAGAAGAAGAAGAAGAAGAAGAAGAAGAAGAAGAAGGAGAAAAAGAAGAAGAAGAAGAAGAAGAAGGAGAAAAAAGAAGAAGAAAAAGAAAAAGAAGAAGAAGAAAAGCATCAACAACTAAGGAGTGAAAAAGTGACGGAGAGAGAAAGATAAGTGAATAAGTAGGGACTGCAAGAAAAGAGAGTGAGCAAGGTGAGGAGAGTGAGAGAAGAAGATTTTGAGAAAGTTAAGCGTTAATGAAGACTAGGGAAATACAAAGTAACAGAGTGGGAATGAAATAATGAAGGAAAGAGCAGTATATTAAAAGAATCTTTGTCTGTGTGAAAAACATGCGCTGTGAGAAGTGGAAAGAGAACTGTTTTAATCTGTAAAACAGCTATTTTTCGACAATTATATTCCCTTCGGGTTTGTTTTATTACACAATATAAACAAACATTTAGGTTTTTAAGTGTGTGTGTGTGTGTTTGTGTGTGTACCACACACGCCTCCAACACAGCAGATTAAGCACATATTTTAACAAACATTCTAGTGAAGTGACAAGTATCCATTTTAAACATTAAATTAGGGACACTTTTTATTGTCAATGAAACTTCAACAAATGATAAAAGCAGTGAGAGAATGTGAAATGTTGAATTAGGAATCGACATCACAGCTCTCGGGACACTCCCATAAGTGCTCTGTCCCTATCTTCAGCAGCAAAGGAAAAAGCTTTAATTCCTATTGCAACAGCAACCGTCATGGTATAAAGTACAGAGGATGCACTGAAAGATAGAATTACTATTTCCTACAGAGAGGGTTAAGCGGTACTTTTTTAAAACAAGTTACAGAATTTAAATATCTGGGGAAGGGGGGGGGGGGGGGTCCCGCCTCGAGTACTAGAGGTTCCGGGTTCAATCCCCTGTTAGGGCTGTGATTTTTTTTTCACGTGGGCTTGGAATTCTAGTAATTCCCTCGGGTCTCTGGGTAAAATCCCTTGGCAGTTGGAAATCGAAAAGATTAGGCTAACGGCGCTGCCCGGTCAAAAATTTGGAGTTAAAAATCTACCTAAAGTATTTCAGGATCCTTGCCAGTGCTACAGAGCCTGTGCCTGTAGTTTGTTTTCTGATACTTAGATCCAGCACTGGCTGTAGTCTGTTATTGTCTTAGTTTTATCGGGCCTGGTCTTCAGAATAAAGTTTGGATGCGGTGCTTTCACTGCTTTTTGAGTGTGTGAAATCTTACTAGGTAAAGCACCAATCTCTGTCACGGTGCGACTCTCTTTCCACTATCTGATATTCATTCTTTCTCCTGATAATATTCTTATACAAAAATGAAAAAAAATGGAAAAAAAACATGCTCTTACTTTTTCTGTTTTGGAACTGAAAAAAGGGTAAGAAATGTCCGTCTGAAATTTGTGCTCATTTTGAGAAAAATAAAGAAGTGGCTGGAAGCGTTGGCAAAATCCAGGATATAGATCAAGTATAGCGTGGTCATAAATAAATTATTGTATCGCTTGAGGATATAAAACTCCGGCTGGATGAGTGTGGCGATGTAGATGGGGATTCTGGGAAAGATGTTGATCATATAAATAACAATAACAACGAGTAGAGTTCTGACCACCCTTTTCTCACGTTGAGAGATGTATTGTGAACATCTCTGGCTTGCTTTTGTGCTGACGTTCGTGTCTCGGATTCTGTAGAGGGAGGCGCTGTGTCTCTTTAGATGTACTATGGTAACTGCTGACGTCGTACACAAGATTGTGAAACTAATCACTGGAAGAAGAAGGCCTACGTATTTGTAATAGATCATTATGGCGGTTTCGTTGGCGAAGTAGAAATTATTGTAAATATACACGGCAATTGTTGTGTTGTAAACGGTGCTTTTTATGTAAACTACGTCGTAAATAAAGAACATGATGCTGAATGCTCCGAAAACACATAGCGATATAAAGACGACAATTGTTAATGTAAATTTTGGCGTAAAAAATGATTTTACTTTCAGCGGTATGGCCACGCTTAAGCACCGCTCCACTGCCACGTAAGTTGCCAAAGCAGAGGCAACGTAGCCAGAAAACAGGGGCAGATAAGTCATAACTTGGATGTCAGCTCGACCTCTTTTGGGTTTCACCAAAGTTTAGTTGTCAGGTCTTCAGGGCACGTGTTGATTCGCAGCTCCTCCGGGAGAGGACCGTCTTATAGAACATGTTCTGGAGGTCTCATCAGTCTGATGACTCTGACAGATAACTGTCTGGTTCATACCTAATGTGTATGGGTGATTATGGAGTCTGTCATGTCCCTTGTGATCATGAAATGCTTTTATTTACCTCGGAACACAACAAGGTTTTCTCTGGGGAAGATTGAAGATTCTAGTTACCTGGAGAAGACAAATGAAATGTCACAGAAAAACGGAAATATATATGTATTGTGTCAATAAAGATGTCAACATCTGTACTGTTTCTATAGAGCAAACACATCTGTACTGTATCTATAAAGCAAACACATCTGTACTGTATCTATAAAGTAAACACATCTGTACTGTGTCTATAAAATAAACACATCTGCATTGTGTCTATAAAGTAAACACATCTGTACTGTGTCTATAAAGTAAACACATCTGCATTGTGTCTATAAAGTAAACACATCTGTACTGTATCTATAAAGTAAACACATCTGCATTGTGTCTATAAAGTAAACACATCTGTACTGTATCTATAAAGCCAACACATCTGTACTGTATCTATAAAGTAAACACATCTGTACTGTATCTATAAAGTAAACACATCTGTACTGTATCTATAAAGTAAACACATCTGCATTGTGTCTATAAAGTAAACACATCTGTATCGTGTCTATAAAATAAACACATCTGTACTGTATCTATAAAGTAAACACATCTGTACTGTATCTATAAAGTAAACACATCTGTACTGTATCTATAAAGTAAACACATCTGTACTGTATCTATAAAGTAAGCACATCTGTACTGTATCTATAAAGTAAACACATCTGTACTGTGTCTATAAAGTAAACACATCTGTACTGTATCTATAAAGTAAACACATCTGTACTGTATCTATAATGCAAACACATCTGTACTGTGTCTATAAAGTAAACACATCTGTACTGTATCTATAAAGCAAACACATCTGTACTGTATCTATAAAGTAAACACATCTGTACTGTGTCTATAAAATAAACACATCTGCATTGTGTCTATAAAGTAAACACATCTGTACTGTGTCTATAAAGTAAACACATCTGCATTGTGTCTATAAAGTAAACACATCTGTACTGTATCTATAAAGTAAACACATCTGCATTGTGTCTATAAAGTAAACACATCTGTACTGTATCTATAAAGCCAACACATCTGTACTGTATCTATAAAGTAAACACATCTGTACTGTATCTATAAAGTAAACACATCTGTACTGTATCTATAAAGTAAACACATCTGTACTGTATCTATAAAGTAAACACATCTGTACTGTGTCTATAAAATAAACACATCTGTACTGTATCTATAAAGTAAACACATCTGTACTGTATCTATAAAGTAAACACATCTGTACTGTATCTATAAAGTAAACACATCTGTACTGTATCTATAAAGTAAACACATCTGTACTGTATCTATAAAGTAAACACATCTGTACTGTGTCTATAAAGTAAACACATCTGTACTGTATCTATAAAGTAAACACATCTGTACTGTATCTATAAAGTTAACACATCTGTAATGTGTCTATAAAGTAAACACATCTGCATTGTGTCTATAAAGTAAACACATCTGTATTCTGTCTCCAAAGCAAACACATCCACAATGTGTCTGTAAAGTGAACACATCTGTACTGTCTCTATAAAGTAAACACATCTGCATTGTGTTTATAAGGTAAACACATCTGTATTGTATCTATAGAGTAAACACATCTGTGCTGTGTCAATAAAGTAAACACATCTGTACTGTGTCTATAAAATAAACACATCTGCATTGTGTCTATAAAGTAAACACATCTGTTCTGTGTCTATAAAGTAAACATATCTGTACTGTGTCTCTATAAAGTGACCACATCTGCATTGTGTCTACATAGTAAACACATCCGTCTTGTGTCTGTAAAGTAAACAGGAGTTTAGTCCCAATTGTGTCTGTAAAGTAAATACATCCACTTAAAACATGATTTTACAGTTTTCATTTTGTTTTAAATTATTTAATTGGTAATAACGCTACCTCAGCTATTATCATTAGCCACTTTGGTTTTTAGACGTAAGGTAGTAAACTTTACTTTGAGCTCTGTAAAACATACAAACAATTTTAGCATGTGATAAACAAAAAACAATTTTTAAAAATCATAACAGTACACTTGAAGCAACCACTAATTTAAGAGCACAGTTATGTTGTTAGTTCTAGAGTCGGCATACCATACTATCTTTAAAATTGCGCAGACAATGATTGTGAAATTAACCATTTTTGACACGTAAGCTTTCTAGATTTTTCCTTTCAGCCAGACTGGGTCATAGCAACGCGTGACCGGGTACATCTAGTGTGTGTATGTGTTTGTGCGCGCGCGCGTGTGTGTGTGTGTGTGTGTTATAGCCCTACTCCGGTTGAAGTTCGGGTTACTTTTTAACATCGTAACCATCATCTGGGGCTATGTGTTATAACCTTACAGTTAAACTGGGTTTCTGTACTCCCGCCTTGGAACTCTCTTCGGAATTGTGGCACTTTGTGCCATCGGCTGTTTATCGCTCGTTGTAAGGTCCTAGTGGGTTTAAACCTAACTCACAATCACAACCACCACCGCCACTATTACCACTATTTCCACCACTATCACCACCACTGGTGCTGCTGGTTCTACTACTACTACTACTACTACTACTACTACTACTACTACTACTACTACTACTACTACTACTACTACTACTACTACTACTACTACTACTACTACTACTACTACTACTACTACTACTACTACTACTACTACTACTACCACTACTACTAAGCACCTAAAAAAGTGTGTGTGTGTGTGTGTGTTTGTGTAAAACAGATATGCGTAGTCACTTATATATTCATGAAGTTAAAAGTTAGTTTCGTATCCTTTACAGGACGTTGCAGAACCAAACTTAGCATGTTTTGGCCGTTGTGGTTTTTCTAGACAAAAAAAAGCATGTCTAACTGTTGCTAGAACAATCTTAGGTGCTGGCGTTGACAATTTGTTTATATTAAAAAAAAAACTGTAAACTAAAACCCATATGTTTAAGTGAAACAAAATTACACTGACACTAAATCTGAGAGACACGGATTTCGGTCCTTGTCCAGAAAAAAAAAAAAACAGTCGCGCGGTGAATAACTTAAGTCACTCATATTTCAAGTATTCTAAAACAGCGCTTTAAAAAAAAATTATAATATTTCTCAAAGCATATAATATTGGTAACATGTGAACTATTTATATAACTTGTGAATATTCTTACACTGACACCTACTTGCTCATATCTGACTATCAGATTGTCTCCTCACATTTCGCTGTCAATAGATACCACGTCATTTGGCACTTCTCCTAGGCTACATGACGCTCAAACTGCGACCGTTACATAATTCCATGCACACGTCTATTTGCCTGTTTGGTGTGTAGATGAGTATTTAAACCTGATGACGCTAAAACAAATTTCCTGGCAACGCGAAGCTGCCCCTGATGTACAAAGAAGACTGAAATAATTGACGAGCTGAGCAGATTGGACTTTCTGGTCAAATTCAAATTTCATTGGAGTGTTCTGCCAGAATAAATCACAGATCACGAAGATGTATGCAAGCAAATGCCAGAGAAGCAAGACTGAGGCTACTCGAGCGTAAAGCACACTTCTTGAATATATCTGTACGACCTCGCTTCAATGACGTAATCACTAAAGAACTAATTCAGTGGAACTTTACATCTAGTGGATATTTGTTTCTATTTGTGGTGGTGTCTGTGGCAGACATATTCACAAGGGCTCCTACACTCTGATGGGAGGGGGGCTGTGGAACGCAGCGGGGGAGGTTAAATGATGTAATCACTAAAGAACTAATTCAGTGGAACTTCACATCTGGTAGATATTTGTTTCTATTTGTGGTGGTGTCTGTGGCAGCCATATTCACAAGGGCTCCTACACTTTGATGGGAGGGGGGCTGTGGAACGCAGCGGGGGAGGTTAAATGATGTAATCACTAAAGAACTAATTCAGTGGAACTTCACATCTGGTAGATATTTGTTTCTATTTGTGGTGGTGTCTGTGGCAGCCATATTCACAAGGGCTCCTACACTTTGATGGGAGGGGGGCTGTGGAACGCAGCGGGGGAGGTTAAATGATGTAATCACTAAAGAACTAATTCAGTGGAACTTCACATCTGGTAGATATTTGTTTCTATTTGTGGTGGTGTCTGTGGCAGCCATATTCACAAGGGCTCCTAAACTTTGATGGGGGGGGGGGGAGGGGGGGGGGGGGCTGTGGAACAGGGCGGGGAAGGTGCAATAGGAGCCTCATGTATAGTTAGGGCAGTGAATAAAAATAAGACAATAGTGGGGATGAAGAAGCCGGATAATTAAATTTATATATAAAATTCATAAACCTTGTTTAAGTGCATAATAATACGATATATATATATATATATATATATATATATATATATATATATATATATATATATATATATATATATATATATATATATGTGTGTGTGTGTTTTGAACACTTAAACAAGGATTGGACTAATCTAAGGCACCCCCCCCCCCCCCATGAATATTTGCAAGGGGTCTGTTGACACTCCCTCTCCCCAGACGAAGTTTTGTTTGTGTTGGCTCCCCACACTGTTAGGTGCGTTGTAGTGTGAGATATCAGTTGTGCTCCACGCTGACACATCTTGTAATAAATAAAGCTTCAGCAATGCCTGGTGAATCTCTTCACCCCCACAGTAGACGGAGACATATTCATCACACCAAAAGGTACATTTGTATAATCATAATCAGGTGCCTTGCCGACTGGCGTGGGCGATCATGCCTCTCCATAATCCACGATCTCCTGCAGCATGAATCAGTTCGTGTGCCGACACACCTCCATGCCATGTAACAAGACTGTAAAGAATCTTCTCTCGTTGTCTTCCTTTATCCATCCTTCCACATATCTTTCCAGTGGTCACCACATGTTCTATTATCCCTCTACTCATAACATGGCCGGAAAATGATGACTGTCTCCTTCTGATGTCTGTGATAAGTTGTCTTCCGGCTCCCGCCTCTTTCAAAATATTTGTATACAACACGCAAAAGGTGACAGATTAAACAAAACGCTCAAGTGCCCACATACCTCAGGTAGAAAAAGAAAGATTAAACCAGACTTACAGTACCTGTACATCTACATCTCAAAGTGGCAGAGGAAATACTAAACAAGACTGTAAAATGCCTTATTGTAAGAGAAAGCGTGTTATGCAAAGTAGTTAGGTAAGGTAGCTTTACATCTCCCCCTCTGCGAGATGAACAGCTGAACACAGCTGAGAGATGTTTCTCTTCCGCGGGTAAGAGGGAAAATGAAACAAGACTTGTTAAATAACTAACACATTGACGATCTCCGCCATTGCCTATCCCGAGCCTGGATGAGAAAGGAAGAGGGTTTGGCGTGAGGCCAGCTACCCCACCCTCTGAAAACAAAAGTGCCACAGAAACTCGGATAATATAGGGGGTGGGGGAGGAAGAACGCTGTAAGAGGCTAGGGTGCTGGGTTGGATTATATCCATGATATCAAAAGAATTGCACAAGATAGAATGGAATGGAGGACGAAATTGGGAGCCATATGTGTTATATAACAGCACATATGATAGGCATTTAAGAACTTATTGTAGACCCAGTAGCGCTAAACAGAATCGTGAACACATGATTGCGAAAACACGGTTTACATCTAAACATAGAATTAAAGAAGGGAAATCTTCTTGTGGGTTGCGGAGGTAGAGAAGAGTAGACCCATTGCTCCCTAACGAGCTTTGCTTCATAACACATACCCTAGCCACAGCCGCCTAAAGCGAAGTATAACAGTTATGTTACAGTTATGAATAAAAGTATGTCTTTGGCGTCACTATCAAAGGTTTATAGTTGATGTTACTGCTTGTTAGTCGTTAGACCACTTCAACAAAAGCGAGTCGAAGGATCATGATTACCGATAGTAACAGTAACAACAGAGCGTTAATAAATTTTTTTAATCGGATAGGAAAATGAGGCATAAGAAAAGGAAGATGTTTCGAAGCTAAGGACTTCAGTTTTAAACTTTGGACACAACGCCATATCACGCTGTTGCCGCGTACAGCGGGGAAAAGATGGAAGATGGCGTTGAAATTCTCCATTTCTAACAAAATCACAAGCGATAATAAGTTATCAAAGAAATAAAAATGGAGAAAGAGGTTGGGGGGGGGGGGGGAACTAAGATCGAAACAGGGACAGAGACAAACAATGAGATAGACAGACCAACAGAGAAAGAAAGAAGAAACAAGAATAGATTAGAGAGAGAGAGACATCTGTAGAAAGGTATAAAAAAGCAGAAAGAAGGGAAAGGACACACACACATATATATATATATATATATATATATATATATATATATATATATATATATATGGGTGTGTGTGTGTGTGTGTATATATATATATATATATATATATATATATATATATATATATATATATATATATACACACACACACACACATATATATAAAATGTGCCGTGCTGTCATGTTTCGCTATGTCACACGATCACCAAAATCACCAATCAGTTCAATGTTTTTGTCTCGCCCCAACCGTCAGGCCAGACCATAGAGGTATTTATCTCTTTGACCTCATCTTGCTCTCTTCACATCAATCTTGCCAAAGTTTTCGAGTCCAGTCCTTCTCATAACGTGTCAAACAAATATCGACTGTCTAAATTTAATTGTTCTAATAAATTTACGACTGTCATCTGACTCCATGTCTCGATGAGAACTGGTTCATTTGTTTGCCTGTCCTTCCTCGATATCCTTTGCGTTCTTCTCAGAATCTCTCTCTGTGTGTGTGTGTGTGTGTGTGTGTGTGTGTGTGTGTGTATATATATATATATATATTATATATATATAGAGAGAGAGAGAGAGGGGGGGGGGGAGAGGTTACATTGCTGGAAACTAAAATATAAATCAGAAGTGAGCATCAAACCGAAGAATGGCCCACATGGATCCCTGAAGTATGGATGTTACTCACCCGAAAGGTTCTAACACCAGACATTTTTTGTTGTTGGAATAGTGACCCATATTCCTAATATTTTGACCTGTCATTTTGCACATAAAACAGACTGTTCATTTTTCAGATGTAGTTTGTTGAAAAACATTAAATGAACACGAGAGATCTCTTTTGACTTAATATGTATTTTACAAACGAATACGGGGAAAAAGGAGAAGAAAAGGGGGGGGGGGGGGGTCATGCTTATGTGTAAAAAATTGTCCCCACAATATTAATCATGCTTTGTGCTCTAAAAAAGCAGCCCAAATTAGGATAGCCATGGGCATTGATGACCATGCTTCTTTTTACCCAAGTATCGTTTGATGATAGCAAAAGAAGAAGAAGAAGAAGAAGAAGAAGAAGAAGAAGAAGAAGAAGAAGAAGAAGAAGAAGAAGAAGAAGATGAAGAAGAAGCAGCAGCAGCAACAGCAGCAGCAGCAGCAACTAGCGCTTGGAATACACCACTGTGTCAGCGCTCTGTTTTAGGCGTTGCGAACTGGCTTGGTAATTCCGAATTACCCAGTTGGATTCTAACAGACAGCTTTGCGTCGTTTTCGACAGTGATACGGACCATCAACAGTCTAGAAGCAATGGCAAACTACTGAACGTAAAATTACATTGTAAAAGCAACAGCAGCAAAATGCTGAGGTTGGTTCTGCAACGTCTTGTCAAGGATACGTTTGCGTTTATTCGGCGGATTAATTTATATAACATGAACCATGGGGATAATGGCTGTTTTCAGAGCACTGGCATGGGTAGCACAACAAGCGGCCACACACGTCACGTGGTTATCATTTCAAACAACCAATCACAACAGATAGTTTACGCTCTGAAAGGGTAGAAAGCTTTTGCTAGTCACAGTAAACCTTTACCATCTGGATCTATACACTGGGACATGGAGGTGAGAGTAAAGTAAAGGTCCTTTTTCCACGCCTTCAGGTGTATATGGCAAATAGGGCTATGCCTATTTTTTTTGTTATAGGCCAATCGGCACAAGATTGGTGAAATGGTCATCATCACACAAGCTCCCTTTACTTCCCGGAACTGCACTCGGTACCCACTCAAGGCTGGGGAGCCATGGAGTAGTAAAAAGTAATTTAAACACCAGCTGGCAAGTAATGCACCAATGCAATCGGGAAGAAGCAATGAAAAAGCTGATATCATCAGCTCTGTACAAACTATGTTGGGAGATAATGATGAATCGCTGACACTAAAACAATCCCTATAACCAAATTCACAAGTAGAGGTACCTTAAAGTGGCTGCTGCGTCGGAGGACTGGGCAGGCGTGGAAATGCCCAACGTGCAGTGACATCGATTGTGATAACACAACATATAACATTAAAACGATATACTGAATGACTTTCTTTTGCAGGACAAGTCTACACGTCAGTCTCTGAGGCTGCGGAGAACGAAGGATTGCTGTATGTGGCATCACAGGGCGCTTACTTCACAGGGCGCATTGTCCTGCCCCAGGGAGATGGTCGAGTGGTCACCATTGACAGTGTCATCCAGGTACAGTTTTGTCTTACACGATCATCACGTGGCTAAAGTGTAGTTTTTCTATTGCTGTTTTTCAAGTATTTTTTTTTTCTTCTATCCCGTTCCGTTCTATTCAGTTCTTTTTTAAAATTATTATTTCATTATATTCTTTTATATTATATTCTTTTTAATTATGATTTATTTTTTTCTATTCCATCCTATTCCAATGTATTATGCTCTCTATTCTATTTTATTTTGTTTCATGCTGCTTTATTCCATTTTATACCATTGTATTTTATTCAATATCGTCTAGTCTATTCTGTACAGCTGACATATATTTTGTGCCCCCACCCTCCTTCCTACTTTGTTCAATTCTTTAGTTTCATGTCCAGAACCTTTTCTTTCTTCTAGAAAAACAGGCACTGGTACTCGCCCTAAAGTATCTGACAGATCTTCCCATTTCTGACTATCAGATCCCTAGTCTGCCAGACTTTTGACGATCTTTTTTGGTCTGCCTCATCTGCTGTTCCTCTTTTCGTAGTCTTGCCATTTCTCTCTTACCACGGGGTAATGGATCAACGCCTTATCTAGTTTGATAAGGGCGAAAGCCTATTCAGCAGACTTTTTTGTTTATAGACCAATCGGCACTCTCTGGGTGATGTAGTCGCCTTTACTACCTATGTCATACTTCCTACTAATTTTAGACTTTAGTCACTCTGGGAATTCCATGGCAGAAAGGCTATAACCGTCTTTAAGGCACTTTTACACCCCGTCTTTTTAAAAATCTAGTGTCTGGTCAATCCGTGTTTTCTCACCCTCCCTGCCCTTTCTGTACTCAGGTGATGAGAAGCCGATGCCAAATCCCTGAAGACAAACTAGACCAAGCCAGAGCAGTTCTGAATAGCTACATCGAGAAACAGACAGGATCTCCAGCCATTGGCACGCCGGGCACAAACACTTCCAGAATCGAGTTTACAACAACAAACAGACCCCAGACTACTGCTGCCCCTTTCTTGCAGCCAGGGCTGGCTGGAGCCACAACCACCCGCCAGGCTGGAGCAGTCAACCCTTTTAGTGCTCTATTCAACTAGCCAGCAGACGATGATAAATATGCTTTTTACATGTCTTCATTTTTATATTTCCACATGTAAACTCCTGTACGCCAGTTTCGCATTATTATAAATTTTGCTTCTGTTTTTTGCATGTGTTTTACTTGTCATATATTTTCTGTGTGCTGTTCGGTATTTTGTGTTATGTTTATGTTTCGTGTTCATTTCGTTTTCTGGTCTGTATGTATAATTTTGTGTTTGAATTCAATATGGATTTAGAGACAACAATGAAGACGAAGAAGAAGAAGAAGAAGAAGAAGAAGAAGAAGAAGAAGAAGAAGAAGGAGGAGGAGGAGGAAGGGGAGGAGGAGGAGAAGAAAGAATAATAGTAGTAGTAGTAGTTAGTAGTAAGTAGAGTAGTGTAGTAATTAGTAGTAGTGGTAGTAGGAGTGGTATAGTAAGTAGTAGCTAGTAGTAAGTAGTAGTAGTAGTTAGTAGTAGTAGTTAGTTAAGTAGTACGTAGTAGTAGTAGTAGTAGTAGTAGTGGTAGTAGTAGTGGTAGTAGTGTAGTAGTAGTAGTAGTTTAGTAGTTAGTAGTTAGAGTAGTAGTTAGTAGTAAAGGTATAGTAGTAGTAGTAGTAGTAGTAGTAGTAGTTAGTAGTAGTTAGTATAGTAGTAGTAGTAGTAGGAGTAGTGAGTGGTAGTAGAGCAGTAACGAATAGTAGTAGTAGAGTAGTAGTAGTAGTAGTGTAGTTAGTAGTAGTAGTAGTGTAGTAGTAGTAGTAGTAGTAGTGAGTAGTAGTAGAGTGGTAGTTGGTAGTGT